AATCTCACTATGGATGCCAATCTCTTTTTCCAAGTAGTGCCTGAGGATCAGAGTTTCGAGGAAAATTACGCCGGCATCTTTCACTTCAGGTATTCCAACGAACGAATGAATCAACGTTCCGGGAAATTATACGTAAATTATTTATTCCACGTGGAGAATGCTTATTTTTACACCAATTGTGAAAAATAGGTTCTGGCAGTACGGAAGATGGGTGGACGTAGTGATCGACGACAGATTGCCGACCTACCGTGGCGAACTGGTGTACCTGCATTCGGCAGAAAGCAATGAATTTTGGAGCGCTCTGTTGGAAAAAGCTTACGCAAAGCTTCACGGCTCGTACGAGGCGTTGAAAGGTGGGACCACCTGTGAGGCCATGGAAGATTTCACCGGTGGCGTAACGGAAATGTACCAGATGGACCAAACCCCCCCAAATTTGTACAGTATTTTATTAAAAGCATTCGAAAGAAACTCGCTAATGGGCTGTTCGATAGAGGTAAATGAAACAAGGTGGCCTCAAGTCGTTTGTCTTGCCAACTTTGACTGCCGACTATTTGGTCGAGCGGAAAATTCGTGTCGATTTTTAAGTAAATAAGTGAATGCCTTGAAGCAATAATTTCTTTACTCTGTAAGATTTGTTCCATTTTGTTCTGGAACTTTTCGCCGTTTTCCGGCTATTTGAAAATTCCTTTTTGTTAAAAAGTTTCTTTCATTTCTTTTAAATTGAAATTTTCTGATAGACTACCTTCTCTGTAAGCATTAGATACTTTGTTTGCTGTTTTAGCGGTATTTTTCTCTCTTTGGCGAAGGAAAAACATTAAGTGTTGCAAATCTACTCTAATTTTCTACTATAATTCGGAGAAGAAACTGGTAATTGTAACGAATGGACTTGCAAAAGACACCTGAAAATAATTGTCTTTCAGAATATATGTGAACTTCATATGTTTTCATCCAGTTTTATTTGTTCTAACGTATTCGAACACTATCTATCAAAAATCGGCACGAACTTTCCGCTCAACCCAATACATTTGACGGTTCAATTTCTATCTGTTTTGCAAAAATTATTTCACATTATTCTCAAGTAAATCGGTGCAGAAACAAAAATAGATAAGTGATGAATTCAATTTTTTCTTGATTTTTGACGTAGACCATTTTCATAATAACCGACACTGTATATGATGCTTATTCTCCTTGATTGTTCAACGCATGTAATAAAGTATGTTACCATTTTAGCCTGATCCAAATATATTGGAAGCGGAGACGCCTCAAGGACTGATCAGAGGCCATGCTTACAGTATTACACGTGTCAAATATGTAGAAATTCAAACACCAAACCAGTATGGCAGAATACCTCTTCTTAGACTTAGAAATCCATGGGGTAACGAAGCAGAATGGAACGGTCCGTGGAGTGATCAGTAAGACAGTTGAATGGATTTAAATTTGCTCAGAATGCAGTTTCTTTGTATCGGGAAGCAATAGCTGTGTTTCACCATATAAATGTTTATTCAATAGGTCGCCAGAATGGAGATTCATTCCTGATCACGAGAAAGAAGAGCTAGGTCTAACCTTCGACATGGACGGTGAATTTTGGATGTCGTTTCAGGACTTCACACGATACTTCACGCAATTAGAAATATGTAACTTAAATCCAGACTCGTTGACCGAGGACGATTTAAATGCCGGCAAAAAGAGATGGGAGATGAGCGTGTTTGAAGGGGAATGGGTGCGTGGTGTTACGGCAGGAGGTTGCTCGAATTTTAGAGGTAAATATTCTTTTTTAAACGTAGTCTAAAATATTTTATTTCATTCTTTGTTATTCATATTAAATTTTGCAGCAAGTTTCGATACGTGAAAATGTAATTAATATAAATTGTAATATGTTGCAGAAACTTTCTGGCATAACCCACAATATAGAATCACGTTGGAATACCCAGATGAGGATGACGACAAATGTACAGTGATTGTCGCGTTGATGCAGAAAAATAGAAGAGCACAGAGAAGAATGGGTGCAGAATGTTTGACTATTGGATTTGTCATATATCACGTATGTACTTTGCATGCTATGATGTTAAAGAAAAATTTCACTCTCTGGTCATTTTCTAAATATTTTAATTCGATTTTATTATGCGGATTAACATATTAATTACAACGATTGTAAAAATATAGTTGGACTATCCTGAACGGTTACCGAAGCCACTGGACATTAATTTCTTTAGATACAATAGGTCGGTCGCAAGAACGCCAGCATTTATAAATTTACGAGAAGTAACATGTCGCTTTAAATTACCACCTGGTGTGTATTGTATAATTCCAAGCACGTTTGATCCTAACGAGGAGGGTGAATTTTTACTGAGAATCTTCTCTGAAAATAAAAATAATATGGAGTAAGTGATCATTTTATTAGATAAAACTTGTTGCTATGACGACTTGAGATTTACATTGAAAATATAATTTTTTCAGGGAAAACGATGAAGAAGTTGGCATTGGAGAAATTGATGATAGGGTAAGAAATTTATTCGTATGTAGGACATATAGTAGAAGATTGAATATAGACATTTGAATAACAAAACGTGCACCTTAAGTATACACGTTCGCATGATAATTAATTCTGCTAATCCACAGTATTATAACTTAATAATATAAAATGTAGACTGCAAATATTAGATCACTTTGCGCCATGAACTTACACATTGATAACGTACATTTAACGTGATAAGCTTTTGCAATGCTTTCAAGTACACTTGTATTGTGCAAATATATTGTGTATTTCATTCAAAATCTATCTAACCAAAGCGTACAATGAATCACATGTACCGATATACTCGATGACCATAGGTAACCAATTAATAATGCATAACAATCTGCATGTTCACGTTAACTTGGCTTCTAGGTCATTAACCCTAAAGGTAATACCGATCACGGAGATGGAGGTAAGGTAAGTAATATATACGCTAATAAATAATAAAGTAATCTTTAAAATTATGTATTAATCAATAAAATTTAACTTTATGAATAAATAAATGGTAGATCTCAATGTTTAACTTTTAAGAATATGGATTTTACTCAAAAATTTGTTTTAACTTCAAGGTTCGAGATGAACCAGAGCCAGACCGAAATGAGGATAGAGTTCGAGAATTTTTCAAAAAGCTTGCTGGTGACGATATGGAAGTGGACTGGACGGAATTGAAAGAAATCTTAGATTTCGCAATGAGAAAAGGTATGATTATTTACATTTAATTTTCTTATATTAACCGTATATCAAAGTATCTCAGTTGCAATTTTGACAACACTGATTCTCATTAAAATTAATAGAAATATTTCAAATTTACTTTGATTCTGTTGCAACTGCTAAAGTAACACTAATGTGTTTTTGTATATGTATATAATTGCGGTTAATATCTGTTTGGTAAAATAATTATACACATTATTTTAGACACGAGATAGCACGACACATGTATATTCAAAACAAAAGAGTTATTCTTATCACATACAATATATGTTATCTTGGCTTTGTTTTTCTTAAATTGTTTCTGCGATTTGCTTAATAATATCAAAAGGCTTTCATTAGTTTTGTAAAGCTTCTGTAATGCTTTTTCACTTCATATTGTTTGCAGTTATTGACAGTAGTAGAATTTACGCAACGAAGCTTTTTTCTCATTAATCATTCGTTCAGAATACTGTACGATATAGCGCACAAATATGTAGTACAGTGCATTCTGATTTTAACAGTTTGTTAATGCACCATTTCATTTAATTCGTTTTCACTGTCAATCGATTACTGTATGAATACTAATGCAACACGATCTTCACTCTCGTAATTGTGCACGTTTCGTTTCTTTCTGTGTAATTACTTCATATAATACATAAATACATTTGGGTCGCCAAACTAGACAGAAATGTCCAATAGAGTCCATATTTCTATATTCATTTATTTATGTTCTAATTGAAACTGTTCGTTAACGTTGTACAATGTATCGCGACTAATAAACAATTGTTCAATTAAAATGTTAAATTTAATTTATTAAATTAACATTTTACACAATTGCAAATTCGAATAAAATTTCAAGGTGGCAGCTGGTGGTATCTGTTAAAATTTTTAGAAAGCCAATGCTTCCTTTGTATTAAAGTCGAATATGTTGATACCATCATAGTGATGAATGAAAAAATTGGTGAAAAAAATCTACAAAATTATTACTTTATCACGTACACTCATTACTTTGACCTGAATGTACATATGTAAAATTTAATGTTAACATGTAGCTGTATGTTACGGGTAGAACTACCACAGTCGGCGCGTCAAAGTGAACAAGGAAATGATTCGTTTATCGACACTCTCATCTCACTGCTGTGCGGCATTGTTTGTAATAAAGAACAGAACGATGTAGCCATAGGTAAGGCATCATCTAGTATATGTATACTTCACACTACCAGGTCATTCCGCATACGTGTATAACGTAGGCGACGGCAATTTTTTTTTTTTACAGTTAGACCTGTTAGAGAAAAAGAATTGCTTTATTAACAGGATGTTTGCAAAGACGTTTTAAAACATTTATCAACTTCTTTATACGATTTTTCCACGTCTTGCTAATATTATGGCTAATTTTATTCAGTGTTTAACAACATGTTGAAATTCTCCACTCTTTCATGACACTATTCCAATTGTTGTTGTTCCTGTAGTTGATACTTCAATGGTTTCAACTATAAGGGTGTGGATTGTGAAAATCTTGAAATTCTTGTTGCAATTGATTCAAAATTCTTTAAGTGTTCAAGAATATTTCCTTGACTGTGAAATATGCTTTTTTTTGTAATACCATGCTTCAATATAATTAAATATATTTTTAAATATA